CCATTGGCGACACCTGTAGAGCATCTTTATAATCACCCAGTTACGTTGTGACGTTTGATAGCACACAAGGTGTTCCTCCGGTATTCGGGAGTTGCATAATCTCATAGTCATAGGAACATGTATAAGTCATGAAGAAAGCAATAGCAATAAACTAAACGATCATAGTGCTAAGCTAACGGATGGGTCTTGTCCATCACATCATTCTCTAATGATGTGATCTCGTTCATCAAATGACAACACATGTCTATGGCTAGGAAACTTGACCATCTTTGATTAACGAGCTAGTCAAGTAGAGGCATACTAGGGACACTTTGTTTGTCTATGTATTCACACATGTACTAAGTTTCCGGTTAATACAATTCTAGCATGAATAATAAACATTTATCATGATATAAGGAAATATAAATAACAACTTTATTATTTCCTCTAGGGCATATTTCCTTCACTGTTATATGTGCAGGCCACCTTGCTTACTTAACCCCCATTGTGCAAATCTTCAAGCCTCTAGTATGGCCTTGATTTGCTCAAGCTTTTCCTTTCTCCCACGGCTAGCATTCAGCAGATCAGCAACTACTTTCTCAAGCTCTTTCTTCTCTTGTGCAAGAAGATCCCTGTCCACCTTGATCTCTTTCATAGCCTTCCTGGTGTTGTGAATTATGTCTGCCTGGGCCTGAAGGATACACTTATGTTCTTTTGCTAGCCTTAGCTTCTCCATCTTCATCTCCAGCTCTAGCTCTTCCTTCTTCTTCTTCTTCTTCTTCTTCTTCTTCTTCTTCTTCTTCTTCTTCTTCTTCTTCTTCTTCTTCTTCTTCTTCTTCTTCTTCTTCTTCTTCTTCTTCTTCTTCTCATATTTCTCAGCATCCATTGCTTTCTGGTAGTCAATCTTGCCAACACCATCCTGCCAGTTAAACATCTTGCTAAAATCATCAACCATTTTATGATACTCAGTGCAAAGATGATCATACTCCTTCTTCAACTTGGCAACCTCATCCTCATATGCATGCTTGTCTTGAATCCTGCCAAGGTTTTGCTCAGGGAACATTTCCCACAGCTTGATGAGGCAGTTCTTAAGTACATCAGGCCAGACATGATCAACCCACTGAACTACATCACAGTTCACACCTTCCTGTTCAATCAAACAACAGTAATAATTTAAGTTTGATCAGATAACACATACTTAATAAAATGCATAAATTCAGTACTAAATTCAGTTAAAACAGAGTTAATATACAAGGAGGAGATGTACAAATTCATAAATCTACAATTCAATACAGTTTATATATAGAGGAGATATACAGAGTACAGCTAGAGAGCACTGACATCATGTATCCATCCAGCATAACTGACTTCATATATCCATTCAATACAGTTAATCTATGCAAACAGAAACCAACACTTAGCATAACTGAATCACTGACTTTCTGCAAACTTCAAAACACTACACAATAATTGAATCCATCCAGCATAACTGAATCCAGTAGGCATATCTGATAACCACAAAGCATAAATGAATCACTGACTTCATATATCAAGTAGAAAACCACTCTATGCAAATATGAACACTAACTTCAGATAACAATGAGCTACTGTTTTACTACATTACTCACCTGAACATGGCATCCATAGAACCTCCTCCCAGTGTTAGCACCTTCAAAAGCAACACACTTCCTAGGCATTATCTGGTATAGAGTGCACTTGGCAACTTCCTCCATGGAAGCACCACACCGCAGTGGCTCAGGAATGGTGTCAGGTGTGTCCTACATGCAGTACAAGGTAGATCAGACAACCAATGCATCAAATAGTTGCATATCCATCAAGCACTGGCTAAACCTAACACTTAACCAAAGGAATCCATCCATACAAATATGCAGATTATCAACCCTAATTCCCAATTCGATCGAACCCTAACCCTAACCCTAAATAATGGCAGAGGGAGGAGGGTGAGCCTTACAAAGTACTCCATATCCATCAGGTTGCCCCCCATGTTGTCGTCGTCGAAGCTCTCATCCCCATATTCCAAGAAGGCATCCTTGCCGGCGACGAGGAAGCGAGGTGGTCGGTAAGGATGGTGAGCTCGGGAAGGGGAGAACAGAGCGAGGGGGAG